GGCCTGTTTCTGCCTCCTGAGTGCTAGGATCACAGGTATGCATCAATACACTTGGCTCTTCTTTAGTTAACTAGTTAATTAACTAATGAATTAGCTAATGCGTGTATATGTGGTTGTGTTGTGTGTGCATGTACTCATATACTATGGTGTGTGGAGAGGTCAGAGGACAATTAGCAGGAGTCGTTTCTTTCCTTCTACCATATGGGTTCCAGAGATCAAACACAGGTCATAGCTGCAAGCATGTTTGCCCACTGAGTCATCTCATTGCTCACTACTCTTTTTTAAGGAGTGCAGTTATGCTGGGAATGGTAGTCCACTCTCTTAGTCCCAGCACACAGGAGGCAGAGGAAGGCATACTGCTGAGAGTTCAAGGCCAGCCTGGATTACATAATGAGTTCCAATCCAGGGTTAGATAATGAGGCCCTGCCTCAATAATCCATCACAGGACTGGAGAAATAGTACTGAGATTAAAGAGCACTGCCTGCTATTCCAGAAGACCCAGGTTCAATTCTTAGCACCCAAATGGCAGCTCAAACCATTTGTAACTCCAGCTCCAGGTGATCTGATGCCCTCTCATCTGGCCTTCCTGAGGGCAATTGCACTTATGTACACAGACATAAATAAATAGACTTAACTAAAAATGAAATAGAAACCTAAATATGTACATTTATATATTTATATATTAATTATATAAATTATAATATTATAATAATATTATTTATATAATTATATAAATTATATATCATTTATATATTAATTATAATATTATATTATATTATATTATATTATATTATATTATATTATATTAATTATATTAATTTGTTACAGGATCTCATTATATATCCCTGGCTGGTCTAGATCTTGCTATGTAGACTAGTCTGGCCTCAAACTCAGAGGTCATTTGCCACCACTCCCAACAAAACTGAATCTTTTTTTTTTTTAAGTAAAATTTAAGGGGGCTGTTAAAAGAACAAAACAAACAAACAAATAAAAAAACCTGTCTCAAAAAATCGAAAAGAAAAACAACAACAAAAAACCTAGGTTCAATTCCTAGCATGGATACTTAGCCATGCATAACTCCAATTCCAGAATGCACAAGAATCAGACATACATGTGACCAAAATACTTATACACATAAATAAAAAAGTCTTAAAACTTAATAAAAAAAATATAAAAATCCAAAGTAATAAAGCGAATAGCTATCACAGCAATCATAGAAAAACATCCCTTTTCTCCTTCATCTGCCGAGACTGGGATAGCCAGAGCTAACCCCAAGGCTGTGATTCAGCTAGCCAGGGCAGAACTCCACCTTCTAAATCACCATTATCATAACGGCCTCAGAAGCCTTTTCCAGCTAATGAAGCCCCTTATCTCTTCCCAACAAACTGTAGACACCAGGCAGACCCAGAATGAGATGAATCCTGGTATTTCTTAATTGCTATATGTTGATTGCTCAGAATGGAGAAACATGCAGTTTTGTATAAAAAAAAAAAAAAAAGCTGCAGGAGATCCAGCCGATGTTCTACTCCTGGCGTATTAAAACCTCAAGAAGTGATCAAGCCTAGCTCATAAACCAGACCCCATTGTGGCGGCATCTTGGGTTTTGCATAGTGATCAGTAGAGGGCGCTGCGGCCCAAGCTGAGGAGCAGAACAGCGAGTGCGCAGTTCGCCGCTAGATGGCGCATCATACGCGCCGCTGAATTGTCGCCGCCAGCTCTAGCCTCCTGCATCGTTCCTTGGCCATGGAGTCTTAATCCTGAATCCTTGGCCATGGGACCTCTGCCCTGCATCCTTGGCCATGGTGCCTTCGCCCAGCAGCCCTCCCGCCCCCTTCCTTCCAGGCCCCGGCTCCATCGCCAAACACAGAGTCAAAGTCGAGTCTGGCTGAAAATACACCATCTGCCTGTAGGGAAAAAAAAAATCTCGCTGGTGCTGTCACGTCAGCACCCGATGCAGGTTAATAACCAGCCTCAGAGCAGATGGCTGCTTTTTATAATTACCAGGTCCTCGTCTTGCCTTACTCCCCTCTGCTTCCTCCCCAGCGGGAGCAGGTGTGTGTCACACCATCCTGTGTGCCCTGCCACCTGCTGCCACCAGCTACTGGTGGGGACACAGCCTTGTAGGGAGGCCCTTCTCAGGGAGGCCTGGACCTAGATTAAACAGGAGAGTTTATTGGAGAGGACGCAACGAGACCAGCACGCCAAAACTTGGAGGGTAAATTAATGAGAGACTTTGATTGAACAACCCATACTTTTAAATCCAGCCATTTCGCTCTGGAGGAATCTGTCAAATCCAAAGACTATCAAAATCCAAATTACGAAGATACACAAGCAGGTTCACCACAGAGCTTTGATGACAAGAACTTGCCTAAAAGACCACCCCCACTCCACCCACGCGCAATCCCAAATGCTGTAGTATGAAGGATACTGTGTAACCATTGCCAGGGTTTCCAAGGAGTTTGAAAGTATCTTTAAAAGTATGAAGATGGGCTGGAGAGATGGTTAAGAGCATCGGCTTTCTTCCAGAGGACTCATATTCGATTTCAGAACCTGTGGGCATGGTGGTTCACAACTGGCTGTAAATCCAGTTCCAGGGAATCTGACGCCCTCTTCTGGCCTATATGGACATTAGGCACACTGGAAGTGCAAAGACATACATGTAAGCCTAACATCCATACACATACAAATAAATAAAGACATTTTAAAAAGAAATATGAAGTTGGTGGTGCATGATGTAGAGGCAGACAGATTACACTTTTCTGGATTTTTCTATGTTTTCAGCAAGAAAAATCAGTAACAAATAAAAGGAAGTGAATAGTTTCTAAGACTTATTCTAAAATACAGAGTTAAAGGTGGGCATGGTGGCACATACCTGTGACCTCAGAATTTAGGTGGCTGAAGCAGAAGGATCATAGTTGGAGACAAGCCTCTAACTACACAATGAGGCTTCTCTCAAAAATCACTCCAACCTAAACAAATCAAAGCAGTTAAGCCAAAGCCAACCCACCAGAGCTAACCACGGATGAAACCGTCAACAGTGGCTGGCTCTGAGGGAACCTAGTCAGCTTCCTTTTGCAGGTCACATCCTGTGGCTCCCGTGAAGGTTCATACCAGGCCTAACAAAGGGGGGGATTCTATTACAACTCTTAACTTTTCTTAAGACTTAGGTGTAAGCAACTGCAGAATTTGATACTGTTCAAAACGGGGCACACAACTCTACTCACAGTACTTGGGAGGCTGAGGCAGGAGGATCACTGAGTTCCACAGCCTACACTGTACAGTGATGTAGTGAGGTCTTGACTCAAAATGACAAAACAAAAAAGAAATATCCTCTAACTTGAAACACCAAGCTAAAAATCTTAATTGTGATCTTATTGCCATGAATCTGCCAACCAATATCTTCACCTCTATACTAAACATAAGCAACTTCAGAACTATAGCAACTGGAGGTAGGGTCCTGATTTTAGACTTTTAGCTCAAGGGGTTGTGAACAAGGGGTTGTGAGGGTCACTTACTGTTTAGTCGAAAGAACAGAGAATGTCAAGTTGAACCAGAAGAGCCAGTTTCCAAAGACAGCATCTGCTCCCAGCCCTGCCCCAATCCCTTCCACTGACACAAGTTCCAGGTGTCACCTAGGCTACCCAGGGAAGCCCACTGAGACATACTCTGAGACAAAGGCTCCACCCCCTCCAGCCCTATCCCCATGGGGTGAAGTCCACAGGAAGCTTCCTTTGCACACAGAGATATCTGTGTGTGTGTGCAAAGATGCTAGCTTTCTCAGCTGGCCCTTAGACCAGCACCTCCCTCTGCAGAAAGTCTGGGCTGCCTCCATGCACAGAACCCAGGTCCCAGCACTGCCTACACAGGACTTGGGCACAGAGGGCTGAAAGGGGCTAAGCATGGCATACAGCAACATGGCCGAAGCTAGCCGGAAATGGCTGTCGGGAACAGGGCCAGGGAGTTTTACCTGTCCTGTCAAGCCACAGATCGAGTAACCTTTTTTTTTACGTTAGGGCTTCAGAAGCGGTTTCCACAAAATACACAGAAAGTGACATTTTCAGGGAAAAGTAATTTATTAGTAATTTGATGATAGTTAGGTCGTAGTTTTGAAAGGATACAGCATCAGGGGAGACCTTGGGGTAGAAATATCTGAGGCTGGGATCCCCCACTTCAGAGATAGCATACATTTGACTAAAACTATTTCACATGAAAACATGTCTCAAATCTGTTTGTGAAAACTGTGGGACTATCACACGGTGCTCATGCGAGGGCTCTGGGTTTGAGGGACACCAGGCCAAACTCCAGCTTCTGCTGGCTAGCAGCTTAGTGGCTTCAAAAAGCTTGAAATTGGATTCTAGGTCTCTTTTGTCACATGTTTCCTTCCTGGAGGAATTCCATAGGAAGTGATTTCAAAACAATGACTGCCAAAAGAATTTACTGAACCCTGACATAAAGGAATACCTCTGTAATCCCAACACTTGACAGCGATGGAGGCTGGAGAATCAGGAGTTCAAGGTCTTCTTTGGCTACATAGAGTTGGAGGCCAGCCTGGGCTACATGAAATCTTGTCTCAAAACAAAAACAAAATGAAACCAAAAGAAAACTAAACAAACACAAAAACAAAAATAATAAGAATTTAAAGACTTCTAACAACAAAAAAATGTATTTGTCTTGGCTTGGTAATGCCTACCTGTAATCTCAGAGTCCAAGGGGCTGAGGCAGGAAGTCCATGAGTTTTAAGCCAACCAGAATCACATAGAGAAACCCAGGTTTAAAAACCCAAATCTAGAGGAGAGAAGATTGTTTAGCCATTGATGCTCTTGCAGAGGGCCTGGGTTCAGTTCCCAGCAACCACATGGTGGCTCACAATTGTCAGTAACATCAGTTCCAGGAGGTCAACGCCCCATTACAGCCTCTGTGGGAATCAGACACATACACCATACTTACATAAATGCAGACAAAACATGAAAATTAAATAAATAAATTAACAACCAGAAAGATATAAAATACATAGCTTTAAAAATATATATTTATTGAGTGTCTAAGCCACATAAAAGCCATGGTGCCAAGCAGGAGCAAGCTGGTGATCAGAGAGGTAACCAAGATACACAGCTCCTGCCTTCTATAAGTGAGCTTATCTAATAAGGGATAAAAAGAAGTGTCAAATATTTAATCAAATGTATATGATGTTACTGGTTGAACTCCAGTTCAAATGGTTGAACTCCAGTTCAAATGGTTGAACTCCAGTTCATAACCTCTAGGACCAACCGACCAAAACAAAGTTGAGTCACTCAAGGGCTGGGACCAGGCTCAGTGGTAATCAGCAGATTCCCAGATTACTCAGAGAACTTGTCTAGGATCTACCAAGAGAGGAGGACTAGGAACAGGGTGCAGTGTTGGCTCTTAGCATAGGCAAAGCCCTGGGTTCCATCCACAACACCACAAGGAAAACAAACAAACAAAAAAAAAACCAGCTACTTGTCCAATTTGAGCCATTGTCACTTAGGGAAATGGAGGAAGGTCTAGCCCAATCTGTCAACAGCCAGTTTCATGGGAGGTTAACCTAGTGCTCTCATTGTTTCTGCTTTCCCTTGGTCTCCCCTGTCTCCCCTTTCTTTCCATCTCACTAGAATACTCACTGCCTCCTGATTTTGTGACTGCAAATAAAAACCAACTAAGAAGGTGCATAGTGTCCCCGCCTATCTCCCTGCTTTTGCAATGTCCGGGTTGGTCTTGAACTCCTGGCCTTTGGGCTTTCAGTTATCTGAGACTGTGGGTATGCATCACAGCACCTAGCTCAGTTGATCTTTGAACTCGATTCACTGTTAGTTTTGTCTTTTCACACAAATGAACTGTAGATTGCAGCCAGCAGAGAGGAGAGCATGGGAGGACTCAGGAAAAGCGGAGTGGAGAACACTCTTTGAGGTAAAGCTAACTATGGCGGCACAAGCCTACGGTCCAAGCTATGTAGCAAGATCACTTGAGCCCAGGACTTCGCCCAGGAAACATAGTAAGAAGAAAAAGAAAATGGAACTAAATTAACTCAGGCTACGAAAGTATAGAGAACAAAAGGGGTCCAGAATTGACATTAAAAAATAAAAGATATAAAGAGGTGCCATGGTTTTCCATAAGGAGGCAGAAGATCCTAGAAGCTTTACTAAAGTTACTCAAGAGAGCCTGGGGCATAGCCCGTAGCAGAGCATAGAGCCTGCCTGGCATCTGTGGCTTCACTCAAAAGAGGGACTGTTGTCATCATGAGACCACTGGAAAGTCCCTGACCAAGGAAGAGAAACACTCAGCAGGTAAGCACAATCCTGACAAACCTGGTTCTGAATCCCAAGACCCCGGAGATGAAGGGGACCTAATCCTGTAACAGGTAACCTGGAGGTACACTCTTCACAGAAAGAGGAGCATCTGGTACAGTCGGCTAGCCAACAACATGAGAACTTCTTTTAGACCCACATGATCAGGAGGACTCCAAGCTATTTGTGAATGCCTACAGCAGGCATGCCTGCACATTTCCATTGCACACAAAGCCCAAGATGCATGGCCAAGGCCTCTCCAGCAGGACAGTCCAACAGGATTCACTAGCACAGCAGCTTACAGTCAATGCTGGTAATATACAAGTTTCTCAGAAGTACCTGTCAGGCTTCCCCCATTCCCTGGTCACCTTTTGAGAGCCATAGAATCATCTAAAATGAAAGCTCCATTCCCCAGGGGGAGTGACTTAGTCATCATAGCGGATCTCAGCCTGCAGCTCCTTGGTGACATAGGTTGTTAGCATGGCCAAGAGCTTCTGTTGCATGGCCTGGTTGCTCATGACCAGAGCAGTCAGCTGCACCGCATCTGTCCAGTCCAAGTTCCTGATGATGGCAGTGGCTTCATTAACAAGTTTCTGCTGTTCAGCAGGGGGCAGCTCCATTAAGATCTGAGGAACGGGCTTAAACTGTCCACTCGTCATCCAGGCACCTAACAGGCCCCCAACAGTTCCCCCTGGAAAACAAGAAAGGGTTCAATTAGTCAGCCTTATTCTCCAACGATGGCCTTTGTTTCTTGCCAAGAATATAGCCACTGTCATGACAAGTGGGCACATTTGGGAGCAGGTCACAGCACGCTCAGCTTCTGCCAGGCACTCAGCAGAGCAAAGGTTGATATGGTCTCTAGTCCATTTGGTCCACATAATTGATACTCAAATTTGTTTCTCCCAATGACCCCACTTACACCATCCCTACCTCTGAACTGTGCCAACTAAGATCCCCTTCATGGCTGAAGAATGCCCCCACTCCTGTGACTCCCAAAACAATCTGTCTCCACAAAGAAGAAGCTGAGAGGGACATGCCAGACAACTGCTGTGCCAGACAACCGCTGCCAGCGGGCACATTAGATCTGAATCTTTAAAGCCTCCCATGAATTGTATATATCAGCCATCAGACAGTCACAGATGCAGCTCGGATAGACTAGTGAGTCATTCTCAAGGGACAGAATATGGGATGAGAAACGGAAATCTTAAGAATGGAAAAACCCAGCACACATGACCTTGACCAGTTCCCAAGGTCAGCCTCACTGGAGATGCCACGGGATATCATGTACCCCTGGACCGATGTAGAAGATACTTCCCCTCAGGACTCAAGAGAAGCTCATCACAGAACTGAGAATTTTATAAAACACCTGCCAGCACCCATCTTCCTCAATATCAAGGTCAGGAAAACAAGGAAAGGCTAAGAAACTGTCACAAGTCAGAAGAGACTAAGGAAAATGAGGTTATAAAACCAAAGTGTCAGGCCGGGCAGTGGTGACACACACCTTTAATCCCAGCACTTGGGAGGCAGAGGCAGGGAGATTTCTGAGTTCAAGGCCAGCCTGGTCTACAGAGTGAGTTCCAGGAAAGCCAGGCTATACAGAGAAACCCTTGGGGGAAAACAACAACAACAACAACAAAAACAAACAAAACAACAACAACAAAACAAAATGTCAGGCTGGAGAGATGGCTCAGTGGTTAAGAGCACTGACTGTTTTTCTAGAGGTCCTGAGTTCAATTCCCAGCAACCACATGGTAGTTCACAACCATCTGTAATGGGATCTAATGCCCTTTTCTGGTGTGTTCTGAGGACAGCTACAGTGTACTCATATAAATTAAATTAAATTAAATTAAATTAAATTAAATTAAATTAAATTAAAATAACAAAGTCTCATTGAAGGGTGGTGGTTACTCACACCTTTAACTCTAGCACTCAGGAGGCACTTGGAAGCCGAAGCAGGCAATCTCTGAGTTCAAGACCAACCTGGTCTACAGAGCAAGTTTCAGGACAGCCAGGGCCACACAGAGAAACCTTGTCTCAAAAAACAAACAAAGTATTAGATGGGCATAGTGGCCCACACCTTTGATGCAAGGGTATCTCTGTGAGTTCAAAACATCCTAATCTACATAGTCAAACCCAGGACACCCAGGGCTACATAGTGAGATCCTACCCCCCTCCCAAAAAAAAAGTGGCAAGAGGAAGAAAAAGAAGGGTACTGTGCACTGGTTAGTCAAACAGAGGTCTCACAGCATTGCATTAGTGCTGACTGCTTGGTCCACTCAGTCTACCAGGAAAAACATTCCCACTAAAACTAAACCTGGGTGAAGGACACACAGGGATTTTCTGTACAATCTTTGCAACTTTTACATCTAGCTATTATTATTCCAAAATAAAATGTTTTTTTTTTTCCTTCCAGAAAAGGCTTTTAAAAAAATTCAAGTAACTGCAAACAGAAACAAGGGGAGTCCTACGCTGAACCAATACTGGCTACTCCTTCCCTAAAGAACAAGGAGAAAAGGTGTTCCTACACACTTTTCCCATCAACGTGGTCACCCCTCCTCACTCTACTACAGCATCCCAGGGCCCCATCTTCCCTGGTGTGAGGTAGTCTGATAACAAGCCTGCTGTGCCCCAGCCCACCATCCCCTAAAGTGTGCTGTGGAGAGCAGTGCAGGCAAAACAGGAGGGTGTACATTTGGTGCTTGTAGGTGCAGCAATACCGGTGTCTAAGAATGAACAGCGACCAAAAATCAATATGATTGTCCAGAGGTTCTTTGTGAACAGAGGACAAGAACCTTGAGGGAGTGGGGCAGGGAGGAGCAACAGGAGGGGAGCAAGGCTAGCTCCTTAGCGCCCCCTGGAGGAAGAGAAACGGCCTAGAGTGGAAGTCGGAGAGGCAAGTTAGCGCCCCATCTGCCTTAGGTGAAAGCCAGAAAATAGGACCCCACTCTGGAGGTAGGTGGTAACTCCCACCTGTGAGTGAGTGTATCAGGTCGCAGGTGAGAACAAGGTGGGCGGGGCCAACACCTTCCTACTTGCTGTAATCCAAGAGTCTTAGCCAGTCTAGCGCGGGATCCAGGTAAGGTGGGGCAGAACGACTGAGAAACACATCCGTGGATGGTTTGCAGGGTGAGAGACAAGCTGGGATCTAAGCATCCACTGCACTGATCACACCTGCTGCTACCAGGTCAGCCAATGGAGCTTCTCAGAATGAGACGGGGCTGGGGCCCTTTAGGGCCAAAGAATGTTCCCAGAACCCTCTACATGGAAGCCAGGAAGAGCAGAGCAGAAGGGACCAGCAAAACAAAGCGCCCAGAGAGCAGTTTGTCTAAGGGAGGTGTACAGCAGGACAGGCTGTGGCTAAATGGAAATTAGCCTTGGCAGGAGAGGACAGGTGTGTGTTGGGGCGGAGGATGCAGGGGGGACTAAGAAGAACCCTGCTCCCTTGGAGCTTCAGAGCCAGCAGCTGGTGTGGTAGTGTGTAGCAGGGGTTGGGGAGGGGCCTGGGAGCACAGCTTCCGGTCCCAAGGGAAAGCTATTCCTTGATGGTCAAGGAACAGATAACACTGCACATGGTCCTCGCTTCTTTGAGGACTCCTGGAAAATGCCCTCCTCTTCGTTTGTTTTAATACAGGGGACACTATAACTGGAATTCCAGCATTCTGGAGGCTGAGGCATGAGAAAATCAGATTTGTCCTCCTGACACCAGTGAACCTCTTGATCTGACAGCACTGCAAGCATCTGTACTACCTTGTTACAGAACATCAATCTGGGATACATAGTTTCAGACCAGCCTGAAATACATAGAGAACATAGCTCAAAAAAAGTAGGTGGGACTGGAGAGTTGGCTCAGTGGTTAAGTGCAGGGCACTGGCTGTTCTTGCTGAGGGCTAACATTTGATTCCCAGCCCCCACAGAGTGGCTCATGACTTAACTCCAGTTCCAAACAACCTGACACCCTCTTCTGGCCTCTATGGATATTGCATGCATATAGTTCATGGACATTCAGGTAAAACACTAAGACACATAAAATCAAAATAATCACTTTATGCTCTTGCTCTCTTGCTCCCGTGACCCGCGCCTGCAGGTTGTCCTCTCCCCTCCCCCCTTCCCTTCCCCCTCTCTCCACGTGGTCATGGCCGGCCTCTCCTCTTCTACTCCTCTCTCTCTCCTCTTGCTTTCCCACTCTCTTAATAAACCTCCCCTTGTGGAACCATCTAGTCTGCTGTGATCTGTCCAAGCTGCACGTGAAAACCTTTTATTGGTGCCGAAACCCGGGAATACGAAGACTTCGGGGACCTCCGGCTGCTGTGACTAGACAGGACAGACACACCACCACCTCCGCCATTACTACACCACGCTGACTTCATCTGTCGCTACCTACCATCTACACCCCCCATCCTGCACCGCTGCTTCCACCCGCGTGGTACTCTGCCAGGTGCATCCACTACAGCTCCAGAGAAGCAACCTTCAGATGCTCCATCTCCTGTCACACACACAGCTGCTTCTACTGGACCTGTTCCTTCTGGCCTATCCTCAGATGGCTCCATAGACCCTGGACAACAGAAAACAGCCACCTCTCCTAAGACCAGACAAACATCACCCATATCCATTCTTCTAGGTTCCCCCTAAAGACACGTTGCCCCCAATGCCAGCAGGAAGTAGCCAGATTTCACGACGACCCTATTTCTGCTTCGCCGCCACCTCTTTCTAATTTTTCTTTTTAATTAAACCAAAATGTGGGAATGTTAGTAATCTGTTAAACTCCACCTCCACAGTCACCTGGCAGTGGCCAGGTATGCTCCTCCCCACAGTTACCTGGCAACAGGCAAGTAGCCCTGCCCACTATAAAAGGGGCTGCTTGCCCCCTCCTCTCTCTCTTGCTCTCTTGCTCCGTTGACCCGCGCCTGCAGGTTGCCGTCTCCCCTTCTCCCTTCCCTTCCCCCTCTCTCCACGTGGTCATGGCCGGCCTCTACTCTCTCTCTCTCCTCTCTCTATTTCTCTCTCGCCTCTCGCTCTCCCACTCTCTTAATAAACCTCCCCTCGTGGAAAAAAAAATAATCACTTTATAAATGTTTAATTAAGTAAACCACTCAGCTTATGCCAGGGAGAACCCACTTGTAGGCTGGACTCAGAAGACAGAGACTGACACCCATGTTCTCTGAATCCAAGCAGTGTGGCTCTGGAAGCAGACAGCTCCTCTGGCTCCCAATATAAGAGAGCAGCCAGACTTAGTCTCTAAAAAGGCATCCACAGAAAGGAAAGCAGTTCATACACAAGTTTGACTGAATTTGTCCTCCTGACACCAGTGAACCTCTTGATCTGACCGTCCTGCAAGTATTTGCAGTACCCCATTAGGGAACATCAATGTTTGATTTACAAGAGCACTTAATGCAATGGGGATATCAGAACATCAATGCACAAATCGCTACTAGACTTTGGAGAAAGGAGAATCCCTGTGTTTTTCAAAGATAATGAAGCACCCACCGTGACCAGGGGCCAGAAGCAGCAAGTCCAGACAGACTCTGTTCTTGGCCAGCTTTACTCAATCTGAATAAAATACGGGCTGCCACAACAGAGCCAGGACATAGCTATATGATACAATAGCCCCAGCCAAGTGTCCTTAGGAAACTTAGGTAGGAGTGGAAGGTGAGGGCATCTCTAGGGAAATAAGAAGTGGGCTGTCTTCTCCTGTCATGGGAAGAAGTTGACGTCTGGACTCCTGAATTCACAGAATTTGTTAATACAAAACAAGAATTTCTGGGCCACCCGTGAGTGTACTTCCATTTCTATGAAATGTAGCTTTCTCTTAATGCAACGTTCTCAGATGTCAACCCTGCCACTGAAGGAAAGAACAGAGCATGCTGGGAAACCAAAACCAACCTCAGCACAAAAGAGCTCCCCTCTGCCCAGCCTGCTAGGATGCAGAGACAGTAAACCATCAAGCAAGAGCTTCTGGAAGACTAGGGTCAAGGAAGGAACCCCCAACCTAGGCTCTCAGCACACAGCAGTAGTCAGTGGAGAACCACCCAGATGCACATGGCAGGTGACCAGCCTGTGTGGGGATGCTAGTCACACCTCACTGAATGGTCCATTACAGGGGAAAGCAAGCAGAGTGAGCCAAGAGAAACAGGAAGCAGCATTACATGGCTTCTGTCTCAGCTCCTGCCTTGAGTTCCCGCCCTGGCTCTCCTTCATGCTGAAATGAACCCTTCCGACCCCAAGTTGCTTTTGGTCATGGTGTTTTCTCACAGCAGGAGAAAGCACACAAAGACACAGCCACACTCAAGGAAGGAACCTGGCAAGGTTAGTTTCTTCTCTGGCTTCAGACACCCCAGTACTTTTAGACTCAAGGATAGTTCTCTAGAGAAAGAGCAGAAGAATACCAGGAAAGAGTACTTGGCATTGGAGGAAAGGTGCTTCAGGCTCTGAGAGATACAAACACCAAGGCCAGGAGAATCCTGCATTATGCAGACACTCAGAAGCTGGGGTTCTGACAGGAACCATATACACAGGACTGGGCCTGGTGAACTTTCCGCACAGGCCATGTGGTAGACACAATTCTTACCAGGTCATTCTTCCATTTGGTTCCAAAAACATCAAGCATGCTGGAGGCCTGAAACATACTATATAGCTCAGGCTATCCTTGAACTTCCCATGTTCCTGCCTCCCAAGGGTGACAGGCTTGAACCCTGACCTTTTATGATAGCCCCAAGGCTGGCTGTACCTGTAAAATCACTCTCACTCACCAACAGCTAATCCTGGTGGGCCACCAACCAAGCCACCGACGAAGGCCATTGCCCCCACAACCACAGCACCCCTTCCAGAGTGCTTGACGGCCGCCTTCATCTTCCTTTCTTGGGAAATCGAGCATAAAAGCTTCATGATGTCATCTACCATGATGGGCATCTCAGCAGATCCTAAAAGATGATTCAAAGAGATAGGTGGTTTTTTGTGTTTGCTCATTTTATGTACTTAAAAAAGTGTGTACATGTGTTCTGCTGTATATATGTCTGTGCCCTCAGAAGGCAGAGATCCCCTGAACTGGAGTTACAGATCGTGGTGAGATGCCATGTGGGTGCTGGGAATCAAACCTAGGTCCTCTGGAAGGATAGCCAGTTCTCTTAACCTCTGAGTCATCTCTCTGGTCCCTGGTTTTGTGTTTATTTGTTTGATTTTAAGACAAAGTCTTGCTACATATTCCAGACCAGTCTAGACTCATAATCGGTTTCCCTTGGGCTTTTGAGTGCTGGGATAATAGCAGAGATAATACCACCATACCTCATGGCTGAAAGGGAGTTTTAATACACGTATGTGTATTTTAACCCAGTGTGACACTTTACAGCATTTTAGGAAGAGCTCCCATCTTCTGGGAAGAGTTGCTTGGCTGTGTGTGTGCCTGACAGGCACACAGCCCTGTGTGCTTGTCTGAAGCCAAGAGGCTGGGCATGAGCTAACAAGCTACAGAAGCAGCCGAGTGGATGAAAGGTCTTTTCTGCCCTCTGATTAACTTCAGATTTCTGACAAATGAGGAAGCAGCCTCAGCCACAGGCTTCATCAGCCCCTAGCAAGCTAAGCCTGACTTCTCACACCAACACCCTTCAAAGTGGCTCATGTAACCTCCAACGTATAAAGGCTATCAGGAACAGGGCATTTAAAAACAGACGGGCTCTTGATGTGACAAGGTATTTGAGCCAAGCCAGAAAGTGGAGAAAGGACAAGACTCTGAGGCCACACTGGCACTTGCCTGCTGGGTAACCTGGAGCCAAGAGTCAGATACTTAGCTTTAAGATGGAGTGAAAATGGGGCTGAAAATACAATTCTATACGGGAGACCATGTCTGACATGAACAGTGCTAAAGAAAAGGAAAGAAAAGAAAGGAAAAGAAAAGAAAAAAATGAATAGAGATCACTTATAGGCTGGGACCTTGTAAAGGATGAGGAAGGGCTGATGAGACAGAGCTGGTGGCACTGGAGACCCTGTTGGGACATTACAGGCAGAGACAAGAGCTAGGTTTGGTACTCTCAGTACTTGGGAAGCTAAAGCAGGAAGATTATGAACCCTTGGCCAGCCTCGATTAGATAGCTAGACTCACTATCAAGATAAAAAGAATAATGATTACTTAGTTAATTAATAATAAAGAAAATCAGAAACAGTATGAATTACCAAGATGAAACAATCACAGAACAAAATAAATCTCCAGAGGCTTGGCATGGTGGCTCATAGCCGAAATTTTGGCACTTGGGAAATAGAAGAAGAAAGGTCAGATAAGTCTGAGACCAGCCTGGGCTACACAGTGAGATGTGCCTTGCCTGCCCTACAGAGCAAGGCCCTGTCTCAAAATGAGAGCCTTCCAGGGGCTTGCAAGATACAGGAAACAACAGACAGCCCTGAAGAACAATGATCCTGAGAGCAGTTTGCTAGCATCAGGACACACTGCCTTGCTCCCTGGGAAGTGACAGATACAAGCATAGCCATAGGTGAGGTGTCCCGTGCCCCGCAGAGGGGCTGGTGAGTAAGGAGAGCCCACAAACTGACCATTCCACCTCAAAAGGCTGCTGAGAAAAACAGCAGAGGTGATATTTCTAAGAAAGACTTTCTGCTCCCAGGAGGCTGAGGCATTAGTCAGCAGAGGGACCTTCCTGAGGGAGTCCTAGGCTACTGTCAATAGCCTGACATTCTACTGGGCTTTGGTGGGTTTCTCTTGATTCCCAAGAACTATGCAGAATCATACTCTCTTAATGTAAAACTGTCCCTCAGACTCTGGGAGTTCCAGGCCCTTATAAGGAATCCATGGAGCCACCATACTGCCACAAAGGCTATTTATAAGAACATCTGGACATTGTACGCTGTGCTCGAGCCCCTGGAAATGTCCAGTTTTTCTCACTCCCACCCTTTTTTGAGACTTCTTTATTTGCTATGTAATTCAGGCTAACCTAGAATCCATGTTCCATCTTTATCAGGCTCCTAATCCCCAGTACTGTAGGCTTGCACCATCGTCTCTGGCTTCCTTATCCATTTTGATAAACTTTAGATGAATACATTCCTTTCAAAAGACTAATACTCCACCCCCAACCTGTAAAGGAGCTAACCACTTCCTAGTTTAGCTCTGGTGCACGGCCAGCTTTTTGGTTTTTGTTGTTGTTGTTGTTGTTGTTGTTTTTGTCAGGTGCAGCCCAGGTCTCAGAGGACTGGAGGACACCAAGCATAGTCAGAAACGCAAGGCTTGTGGCGATCTGATTCTGAGGGCCAGCCTCAGCACCAGCCCACAGGTACCACTCCAAATCACAGAATACAGATCTGCACTCTTGAAACAGTGTTTTCCTATCGAGACAAGACACGGGAAGGAGTTAGGACAGAGATGCATACAGCAGCCCCTCATCCATAAGGTATACATTCGGAGACTCCTGTAGATGCCTGAAAACACGATTAATCAGTCCTTCCAGACTTCATCCTGGTTTCTTTGCATTGTAACTCCCAAGCTTTGCGGCCCTTATTAAATAAAATGAGGTTACTTGAGCTCATCACAGGACTCAGAATGAAATTTCTAACCATATAGAGAAGCCCATGATTTAAAACTTACATAGTATTTAAAACTCATGGACTGTTTATTTCTGAAATGTTTTCACTTATTATTTGGCTGTGGGTATCCAGAACTACAAAATGTAAAACTGTGGACAGGGGTGGGGTACTGTACTCACCCATTTTTACCCTTGATTACCTACTCAGAGGATTATCTACCTCCAGACTTGCTCTGAATAACTTTAAGTCAAAACCCATGGAGCAGAAAAGGTAGCAATGTGCACATGCCATTCTCAATCTCTACCAAGCCCAGACAAGCCTTTGCAAGGAGACAAACCAGGCTCTTTAGCAGGTACCAGGGCAGGAGAGCTGGGCAAGAAAGGTTCCACTCCAGCTGGGCTTCTGCAGTCTCAGATTGCAAGGCAAGGCTGCTTAGATTTCCTGAAGAATAATTTCAGAAGTTATGGCAGCAACAAGCTTTTGTTGTGAAAGAAAGGTTTGGGACCCCGAGTCTGTGTGAAAGCATTTCACTTCCTGTATTCTTCAGGCTCAGGAGATTGCAGGGTAACATGTCCCATTCTCCTCTGTCTGTGAGGAAGAGTTGTGTGTGGGGCGGGGGGGGAGATGACAGAAGACAGAACCTTCCCACAGGAGCACAACTATTTCAATAATGCTGTCCTCGAAACAGGTCCTGGTCACTGGAAGTCCACCTGCCAGCCATAGGGAAGACAAGTGCTAACTGGGAGCCCTGATGTCTTACAGTCACCCAGACTGGTGGGAAGATTACAGCAGGGACATACACAGAGGAGGTGAAGACTCAAACCTTTGGACAGCAGCCTGATCTGTGTCCAATCAAGTTGTGAGGGACAGAGGAGGAGGCCTCAGAGTAACAGGGGGCTCCATGTTCTTTACAGCAATCATAGACAAAGCTGGGATTCAAATCCCCAGTGTAGAGGAAGGAAGTGTGTCAGGGTGGGGGCAGGAGGGAGCAGGGAGAAACGAAACAGAAACTGAGTGGAAAACAGGTCTTTGGCGAAAAATCACTATCCTGCTCCCCTCTACGGGATTTACAGACCCAAGCTGCACTCTGTATCCTGTAAAGTTCACCATCCTCTTCTTTCACCCCACAAAGTTGTTTAATTAACTTGAATGTTGGTTTTTAAAAATAAGAATATATCGAGGTGTGCTGGCTCACTCCCGTAACCCCAGCATGGGGTAGGCCACTGTAGGACTTCCAGATCAAGACCAGGCAAGGTTACATAGTGAGCTCCTGTCTCAAAATAACAGCAATAATAAAATCTTACGTACACCTTAATCTTCCTGATTTCTCTTGAAAGATCAGAAGTAGTCAGTGGTAGGTTCACCTGGCAGACTGAGCTAACACCCAACACTCAGTTAGCAGCGCCGTGCCCTCCGCACCCGGCTGGCTATGCATGCACCTTTTCTACGTAGTCATAGAAGAACGCTTCTCAACAACAGCTCCAACTAATCTGGCCTTTTGAGGCCCTGACATTCCTTCCAGATCATCCCTAAGCTAGAGCCCAGATTCCCTACCGCTCTGGGCCAACACCGCTAGGCGCTAGGTGTACGCTGTGGGAACTACCGCACCGCGCACGCGCACTCTGGAGCACCCAGGCAGCCGCTGGAAGCGCACGGAGCTGCTCACTACTCCAACCTCGGCGCTGCGGCTTGGGCCTGGCAGTGTCTCGGCTCCTTTGCACTGAGATGATCAGCTCCAGCAGTGTGCCTGACACCGTAGGGTCCCCGACCGGCTCCACAGACCCCGGCTCCCCTGTGCGCACCTTTACCGTACTGGAGTCTGGAACGTCTCGGGTACCGAAGCCGGCTCCGCTTTGCCGGCTCTGCTCTGCCAGCTCCAGCGAGGCGTTCGCCGCCCACCGCCGCCCTGGCTCCGCCTTCCCACCTTCCGGCTCCTTCCGGGTCGCAGCGCTCTGGGTCCCTATGGGTCCGGGTCCTCAAGTTGGGACAGGCCTGGGGGAAGATCTTTTTTGTCTTGTTTTGTTTTTTGTTGGGTTTTTTTGTTTGTTTTGTTGTTGTTGTTGTTGTTTTGTTTTTCGAGACAGGGCTTCTCTGTGTAGCCCTGGCTGTCCTGGAACTCACTCTGTAGACCAGGCTGGCTTCGAACTCAGAAATCCGCCTGCCTCTGCCTCCCAAGTGCTGGGATTAAAGGCGTGCGCCACCACCGCCCGGCCTGGGGGGAAATCTTGATGGCGGGGTCCTTCCGCGCCTCAGCGTCTGGTTGATGGACACCTAGACCCTGCCTAGGAAGCGATATCACTGCAGGAATGGGGAGCATCTGGAGGGGACTTTACGTCGCGAGGACCCACTGCTCGCCCGCTTGACCCCACCTGACCACCCCACTCAATGCCCAACCTCACGTTTAGGATCTGGGACCGCTCCTGGAAGGTTGTCCTCGATCGCTCTCTGCGCTGGATCTGTGACATGCCAGGGCTCTTTTCCCTCACAGGGTCCTGGGCGTGGGAGAGGCTACAGGAGGTTGAGCTGTCAGGAGCTGTCAGGAGCTGGTGTAGCTTTCAGACCTCCTAGGGTCAGAAAGGAGCCCACTCCACCTTCAAGGCAAAGGGAGCCTCTCGGAGGAGATCAAAGGGTAGCAGAAAAAAAAAATCCAGAGAGGCCCAGGGAGCAGTCCCTGACTCCTGGCCCCTAGGACTCTAAGGCTGGCCTGGAACTATGCCAAATCCGAAAAGGGCTTCTGAAAACTCTCCCAATGTTGTAAACTTTAACCGTGAGCAAAGTCTTGCTGAGTAGGCACGGCTGTCGTTGACAAACTAGATACAGAGGGGCTGGACTAGCCAATGCCACCCAAATAAAAAGTGTAGCGAGTGAACTCCAGTCTAGGTCCAAGTGGCCCCTAGCACGAGACCGGCTGCGGGCATACAGATGATTTCCTATGCAAAGTCATATTATTTGTTTTTTTGTCTTCATAGAAAGCTTCGAAATCCTTTTAAAATCAAGATTCTCCTGGCTGGAGTGAAAAATTCTGTGCATTTTCGAGTAGGAACTTTTGCCTGAGTTTGGGTGACTTTCAAGAGCCAAAGTTAACTGAAGCTAAGAATAGATTGGCTCCCTGCTCTTAGTCCTTCTACTAAGTGAGGTGCTTCAGTGTCCCCCGCGGGTAGCGCCCTCTGGTGGCAAGTTCGAGAACCGGACTCTCCTGTTGTCTCCTTTGCCTAGGTACCATAAGAAGCATGAAGAGATGATGGGAACGAGAAAGTGCAATGGAGAATAGAGGCTAGGATATTAGACATTCACACTGACGATGAATAAAGTCATAAAATAATCACCCTGACAGCTATAAATGTCCTAGACAGTCCACTAGCGGCTGAGGCCAGCTGTGAAAGAGGCGCATGGTAGGTGTGTGAACATTCACAATCCCATTACTCAGAAGGAGATCCTTCTGAGGCAGAAGGCTCAACAGTTTGAGGCTAGCTACCAGGTGTGGTGGTGTATACCTTTAATAGAAGCACTTGGGAAAACAGAAGCAAGCAAATATCTTGAGTTTGGAGCCAGCCTGGTCTACAAAGAGAGTTCTAGATGGCCCGGGCTACACAGTGAAACTCTTGTCTCAAACAAACAAACAAACAAACAAACAACCCATAAGAGTTTGAGGCCAACCTAGGCTGCATATGGAGACCCTTCCTCAACTTTCTCCCTTTCTTTTTTTTTTTTCTTTTTTTCCGAGACAGGGTTCCTCTGTGTAGCCCTGGCTGTCCTGGATCTCACTCTGTAGACCAGGCTGGCCTCGAACTCAGAAATCCACCTGCCTCTGCCTCCCAAGTGCTGGGATTAAAGGCATGCGCCACCACTGCCCAGCAACTTTCTCCCTTCCTAACCCCAAGTTCACACATTGAACACTTTCAGTACTGGGCCTTTGGGAGGTGACTAGTGGCCTCATATAAGAAACCTAAGGGAGTTTGTTGTCCCCTTCCTCCATCTATGAGGTGCTTGGCCACACTAGACAAGAAACCTGCTGGTATCTTAATCTTGGACTTCCTGGTCTCTAAAGAAATCAGTTCAGTTGCTCAAATTCCCTGTCTTTGCTATTTTGTTACAGCAGCTTGAAGGGACTAAGACACTCCTGTGAGCCTGTAGGAAAGATTCCTTTCTGTCTCTCTTAGCTTCTGGTAAAGTTACCAGTCTTCCATGACCCTTGGCTTGCAGTGTTAATCTTTTCTATTACTCTGTGGCATTCTCCTTTATGTGTGGCATGGGTGGGGATGGGGGAGACAGCCTTCTAGCTACAGTGAAACCCTAAGTAAGACGTTTATATACACAGTGACAGAGTTGAGACTCCATATCTTTTCCAGACAATAACAATTCAACCTGCCGGGCGGTGATGGCGCACGCCTTTAATCCCTGCACTTGGGAGGCAGAGGCAGGTGGATTCCTGAGTTCGAGGCCAGCCTGGTCTACAGAGTGAGTTCCAGGACAGCCAGGGCTACACAGAGAAACCCTGTCTTGAAAAACAAAAAACAAAAACAAACAAACAAAAAAATTCAACCTGGTGGTTGAATGAGATTAACCCACATAGACTCATATGTTTGAATATCTGGTCCCCAGTTGGTAGAACTGTTTTGAGAACTGACCTTGTTGATGGAGGTGTGTCACTGGGGGTAGTCTTTAAGATTTCAAAAGACTGATGACATACCCAGTGTGCTCTCTGCTTCCTGTTTGTGGACCAAAATATAAGCTCTCTGAGGCTGGAGAAAGGGCTCAGTGGTTAGGAGTACTTCCTTCTTTTCCAGAGGACCTAAGTTCAGTTCCCAGAACCCACGTTCAGTTCACTACCACCTTTATCTCCTGCTTCAAAGGGGCTCTGATGTCTCTGGCCTCCACTGACAAATGCATTTGTGTGCACAAACACACTTAAAAATTAATAAAAATAAGTGTCTTAGTTAGGGTTTTACTGCTGTGAGCAGACACCATGACCAAGACAAGCCTTATAAAGGACAACATTTAATTGGGGCTGGCCTACAGGTTCAGGGGTTCAGTCCATTATCATCAAGGCAGGAACATGGCAGAATCCAAGCAGGCATGATTCAGGTGGATCTAATAGTTCTACATTTTCATCTGAAGACTGATAGCAGAATACCAGCTTCCAGGTAGCTAGGACTAGGGTGTAAAAGCCCACACCCACAGTAATGCACCTACTCTGAAATTGTGCCACTCCCTGGGCCAAGCATATTCAAACTATGACAATAAGTAAATTTTTTTATTTTTTATTTTTTGGTTTTTTGAAACAGGGTTTCTCTGTATAGTACTGGCTGTCCTGGAACTCACTCTGTAGACCAGGCTGGCCTCGAACTCAGAAATCCTCCTGCCTCTGCCTCCCAAGTGCTGGGGTTAAAGGCATGTGCCACCACTGCCCGGCATGGCTACACCTGTGTCATTGGAGGAGGTAATTTTTTTTTTTTTAAGTGAGACTCTAGCTGCTGCACCAGTCATCCACCACCCTGCCTCCCATTCTGCCATCATAAACTTTAACCTCGGGACTGTAAGCCCAATTAAACCCTCTCTTTTATTGGTCATGCATGATGTTTTATCAAAGCATCAGAAAAGCAGGTAGGACAAACCTATAACATCAGGCACTCGCTAAATGCCAGCTGTGAGCACTGCCTCTGAGCACCCGCCTGAGAGACGCATGTCCGCTCCATGGTATAACACAGAATCCTCAGGCCAGGCCTAGGTTAATGTGTGCATGAGGACTACCAACTCTTCAGTGTTGAGAGATCTGTCCTCTGAAAGTGCTGTCAGAGCCAAGATGTTTGGAGACTGAGGACAACCTCATGTTGGGTTCCATCACTCTGCTGAAGGTTAGTTCATTCTTCAGATTACTGTAGACAGTTACCACGTCTTCCAGTCTATGTTTGCTGTGGCATTCCGTCATCACTGAGAGGATTATTGTCATTCCCGCCCTGTAGAGCCACGACTCAGGCTTCCTCACTGCTGAATCCCCTGCAGGCCCCCAGCCTTTCAAGTGCCAACTTACTCAAGGTGGGACATTAAAAATCATTAATGGAGACAGGAGATGTCTCGAAAGATCTATAATGCCGTATTCCTCTCTAATTCATATTGCTTTCCCCAAGGTCACATTTTTTAAAAAATGGCAAAGCTCAACACAAATGCAAATACAGCTTCCAGACAAAGCCCCAGGCTGGCTCCCAACCCTCCCTTACTGTCATACAAAATGAAGACAATAACCCAGGCTTTCAACAACCTGGGCATAGTATTGTGAAGATTAAAAAGGAAAGAGACAAAAGATGTGCTGTCCACTAAGAACAGGACACTGGCTGAACCAGTGCTCTGTCAGTGACCAGGGTCTACAAGGCATCCAAAGGATCCCAAGGGATAATTTACAAATGATCTGGACAGAG